AGTGAAGGGACCATGGGGATTCCCGCATGGTAGAACAAGAGTCGAGTCGAGTTCCTAGAAAGAAGGACGTCAGAGTCACGTGACTCTCAAGAAGTCGTGGAGAGCGCGCTTACCCAAGGCCTAGGGTCATTCTGGCTACTGTAGTGACTATTGATGAAAAGCTGCTGTCTCCGGCATGGTGTAGCGGTAACATAGGTGTGCCTTTCGTTATAAAAAAAAATAACCGGAGCGCAATAATTTGACCTGTCAAAATAACCGGAGCGCAGGCCTCGATCAGCCCCTGAAGGGGGCGCACACTCGTAATACGCTCCGGTTTTTTTTTTTATAATTTCCGGGGCGCGAGACACTCGATCCCCGCTCATCGTGATCATCTCGGCATTTCGGCGCCATTCATTCAGAAAAGGGCTTCCCAGCCGCTGCATCTCCCTCACTGGCAAAGAAAGGCATCGCGCTGCACTCCATGTACGTCCTCTCACGCAGGCAAGAAGAACAATCCACTGCTGGATCAGGCACTGGTGCGGCATCTCTCACCCCGTTCGGTGGACCCCTCACGTCGCTCGAGCCTGCGTTTGCCCGCCCTCTCACTGAGCTGCGTCGACGGGCACCATCCGGTTCACCCGCGCCTACGTACACGCATTTGTAATTACTATCGATCACCCATACCTCTGCAAAAAATAAATACTCCCTCAGTCAATTCAAACTGGGAAATTTTTGATTCCCAGGAATCTACCTGTGGACAATTTGGAGCGGAACCGAGTCCAGTAGAAATTGATACTTTCTTTTGATCGCTGGGCTCGGCAACTTCATTACGGCCCAGAGCCCGGATTCAATATCTTTCGGTGGTAATGATCCCGCCTGTTGATGCCGAGCCCCGTCGGACATGAAGTAGTAGCATTGCCATCAGGAGATACCGTAAACAACTTATCGGCGCGTCATATCACCGCCATCAGATATCCGGCATTGCAATGTCATGATGAAGCACACGCAGGCCACCTCTTCCACGAGTTCCCTCGCAGCTGGTCCTTTCATTCAGAAAAGGGGGGTGCGTCCCCTCTCTCTCCCCTGGTGGAATTGACACTCGTGCCCAGGAACACACACGCAGGCAGGCGCTGCGTCTCTCCGCATTGCCCTCACTGGCAAAGAAAGGCATCGCGCTGCACTCCAGGTACGTCCTCTCACGCAGGCAAGAAGAACAATCCACGTCATCTCTCCGCCTCACCACCGTATATCGTACTCAATCCGTCCCCGGCACATTACAGACATGGTTCCTTTGAGGTTATGAACACGTATCCTAGGCGTTCCCTTCAGTTACGACGTCTCCTCCATCCATCCGTCCACTGCACCCACGCTCATCACCCGTACTACACGGCCGGCTCCTTGATTCTCTTGCCATATTCATTATCAAATGCATATTATTCAATTGACTACACATCCTACATACACAAAGACCGCCACTTCTCACGTTGCGCCCCAGTCCATCCGTCGTACGCGCTTCTGGCGCGGTTGGTCGAACATCGCGGAGAAATGTCGGGTCTCATTACGGCCCGAGATAGGCGCCCTTCAAACGAACGGTTTCGACCTTGCTACGAGGAGGGGACACAGAGGAGGGAGACATACCTCGTATCACAGTGCACATCGTCTGGGGAAACAATGAGTAAATATTGCGAATGGCAAGCTCACATAATGCGGCGATGCTCTGTTGGCGCTGCAAGTCATCGGGGATAAACGAGTGCACAGTGGGAGAAGAAGGACCAGACATACGGTACACGGAAAGCTGGCGTTGGGATCGGGAGGAGAACGGTACTCCAGAAACGTCATACAGCTATCCGAGGTTCGAAGTATACCATTGCGGCTACTGAGATGCGCGGAGGCGGCTTTGGAACGAGTGCTTACACGATGTCGTCTTATAGCTGATCATCGACATACGATCCCTTGAAACGCGCCTACACGACGTCAAAAACCGTGGTGGTACTGCGTCGTGTCCTCAAGTTTCTAACACAATTGGCAGATCCAGGCAGGTTAAAGCAGAAATGATCCAGCGTTGGGCAGATTAGAGCAGACCCCAGCATAGGGGTTAGCCACCGCCATCAGATAACCGGCATCTCGGCATGCCGCCATCACATCACGACTCGAATCTCAACCTCTTCAACGCTGTCCTGGCCCAGGTGGTTAAGATGTATCGGTCTATGGTTCGACTCCCGCTAGTGACATCATTTTGCCCTGATTTCATTTCAAACCTCCTATTTCCGCCCTGGCAGCTTAAATCCGGGGCGGCGGGTGTCGTTACTGAGCTCAAGACCGTCGATGACGAGGACCCCGAAGCCGATGAGATATTCGCTGAACTGCAAGGGAAGCTCCGCAAGACGCGGAAACAGCACGCCGAGCTCCGCGCAAAATACGATGTAATAATAAACCGGCAGGTTCGGTACAGACTCCAGCTCGGACGCTCAGAATTCTTCGCGGGAGTATCGGGACGGCAACTGCGCGGCGAGGTATTTTATTCCGCAACTACTGTCTGACGGCGTTCCTAGGCGCCCCCTACGATACCGCCCATGGCCGTCGCCCGCCCTCCCCTCGCAGACAGAACTCGCGAGTCCGTTCAATTCCGACAACCCCGTTTAATCACCTCCAACGGCAAGGAGAATGCTCCAACTTCCTTTTTACTGGGCATCGAGGCACTCGACCCGGCCAGCCGCCTTTGCGATATTCTCTATCGCTTTGCACAGCGCGATCTTCACGCCGAAACCGCAGCGGCCGTCAACGCGTATCTCGGCGCCCCAGAGCGTCGTTTTGCCCCTTGTTATCAAGGAGAGTCTCCGACCCAGGACGAAAAATGCCCGGTTTGCTCCGCGGATTGCAGGTAGCTTCCCTTTCGCTATCTCCTCTTTCTTCCGACGCTCATGATGAGCTTCCCCAGACCCAATGCGTTCAAGTATAGCGGGTCTCAAACGATAGGCTCCCACATTCATGCTTGCCTCTTGCGCGCCCAGCAAGAGAAGGTACAAGAGTATGTCGAGACGAACTACATTCCCACCACTTGTCCCTGGCACCGATGCAAGGTCCAACAAGTCTTCCAGACGCGCCCAGAGTTCGTCGAACACTTCCGCAAGCACCGCGATAGTTTCGGTCTTCTAGCAACCCGGAAGCACAAGACGCGTTCATGTCAAGTGATGATCGGCGACGAGTTGTGTCTGGAGGAGGATAACGACGATTGGGACCGCCATTTTGCTCAGGTCCATTCGATTAATATTCTTGAGAAGGTGGAGGTGCATTATTGCGCAAAATGCCCCGAGTGGTATGTCGTCTCCCATCTTGCCGGTTTCCGCCATTTTATTGATATTTTATTCTCAGGCTTGTAGACGAGCTTGGGGATGGGCTCGCTTGGGATGGACACCTCTGGGATCACTGGGAAGAAGACTACGGGCGGTTCAACGAGCGTGTCACCGAGGAGGTCGATCTCACACCCGACGTTGAGTTTAGCGCGGCCGTCGACAACCTGGTCAGCTTCGCCGTCGGCTCTGGCTTCTCCCGCACGCGTCCCGAATTCCATGGCCTCGTTCGTCACGGCGTGGCTGAGGTGCCCATGCACTGCCCTTGGTGCGTGTACCAAGCCGAGCGAATTCGAATCCGAATGCACGAGTACGTCGTCGTTCTCTTGCAGCGTCTCCGCCTCCCTCCTGACATGTCTCCAGATTCCTGACCGTCGAGTCGTTCTTCCGCCACATTCGCCAGCACCTCGACGAAATGAGCGACGAGGAGACCCAGCAATGTCCTGTGCCACATTGCGGTGTTCACGAATTTACGGGGTTCGAGCTCAAGACGCATATGGTAGCCTTCCACCGCATCCCGCTCTTCGGCTCCAAGAATACCGTCAAAGTTCGTACTCTCAAATTGCCTCCCATCCCCGTCCCCGAGCCCTTCCCCGCCGCTACCATCGAGATGGATGTTGACGTTCCCGCGCCGCCAACGGCCGCCGCTCCCATCGCCGACACGAACCTCACACAGCATCAAGCGGCAACCAAGGTCTACAAAGAACAACGCGCGGCGGCCTCAGCGGAAGCCGTATGGGGTCACTGCTACGGTTGCAGCTGCCCGTACAAGAATATCGGCGCCCATATCAACACCACTAAATGCCGGAGCAAGAACCAGTACCAGCTCATTGTCGAAGGAAAACGGACGGGGGTTAAGAAACTTGCATGGGATTTATCGGTGAGCCTTTTTCTCGTTTTCATTTTGTTTCTTTGATCGAAAGATGATACCATTAGGACGTCGTTCCCGAGCTAAGAACCGCAGGCTCGAGATGGGGTCTCGTCTCAGCATTGCCGACTGGATCGCTTCACTTCCCGTAGGTTTCCATCGCCCAGATCCGTCTTTCGTGACTGATTCTCTTCTCAGGTGGCGCCCCCAACCGCCCCCATCCTTCCGGAACAGGGCCCGTCAAAACGACCGCGCAGTCCCCTCGTACGTCATCATCTGTCTCGCGCCCAAGTCGAGATGCCAAGTCATTTCCAGCGATTGGATCGCGAGGAGGGATCGTCATCACCCGTGCCAAAGCGAGCCCATGTCGTGCGTCACCCTCTTTTTTCCTTCTTTTGCGCATCTGATTTTCCGCGTAGGCATCGCCCTCTCCGCAGGCCGAGGTCGCGTCTGTCCCAGTGTGTTTTCTTTTCCGAAATCTCCGCGCTCTGCTTATATCTCCACCTAGATGTATTGCTGTAACCGATGCAGTGCGACATTCGTAGAATTAGCGGACCTGGCGTCGCACTTTGCAACCCTCCGTCGCAATTCGAAGTGCAGGGCGAGGATGTTCCGCCTTCGGGACACGGATTCTGCGGATCCCTCCCGCATGTGGCAGCCTGCAATTGCATGGGCGACGTGGTCGGGCAACCCGGACAACTTACAATCTTGAGAATTGGGGCTGGCTCTGCTGATTGTTTTTTTTTCTGGTACTTAATGAATGCACAATTGCCCTTGACATCCCCCTCCTCTTGCTCAATAGCTCCGAATTGGTGTAGTGGTTTAACATTATCGCCTTTCACTTCAGTTGGTGTGGTAATCTGAGCGCGATAGCCAGGGGTTCGATTCCCCTATTCGGAATTCTTTTTTGCTTTGCACCCCTTTTTCTTAGGTGCCTTTCAGAGATAGTGATCTCACAAAGTGACTTGAGAGTGCGCACTTGCCCGGGGTTCGACTCCCCGTACCGGAACGTTTTTTTTGGGCGGGGGATCGTGGTAGATCCACGCTCACTATTTATCCGATGCCTCCATGTACGATTAAGGCGTGAATTCTCCCTTGGAACTTGGTGGAGAGCCTGGGAATTCGGACGATTTCTTGTGTTGGTCGAAAACATCGTCTCATATATAGATGCCTAGGATTACTGTAGAGTACGCGGTGCCCCTACTCTCAAGCTCGTTCCGGAATGCACCGAAAATCTCAAAGGATCATTTGGAGAGCTCGCAATTTCGACGTCGTAGAGATCAAGCTCAAGACTAAAGCCTACAGATTTTTAAAGGCATCTCTCATAGAGTCTGTGAGTTTCTTGTATGAATTTCCTTGGTCAAAGGCCGCCCGCACCGCGATCACCGTTGTCGCCCACCAGAAGGTCCCCCACAAAAGGACGTTCGATGTTCCTCGAGTAGTTCATCCTCAAGCACGGCACGCAAAAGGACACGATCGCCATCAAAGATGGCAAGGACGGGCTCGATTCCTTCGACAGCCAGCGGAGCCACGCGATCAAGTTCTTGTCCAGAACTCGGAGGACTACACGGGAAGCTGCCGGACATCGTGCTCGTGAAGAAGGTGTCCCCGAATCGGCGGAAGAATAGCAAGGTGCAGAGCTGGAGGCTGCGGAGCATCGGGAAGGAGGCAGGCGGGATTTTCCAGTCGCTTCAAGACTGTCACAATGATTCGCGAAGCCAGTGCGGCGTCAACAGGCGTCAACCTTGAAATCCACTTATTAATAAATGTCTTCACGCCTAAACCGTTGCACATCCTCTCAAAACAGCGTGTATTGCTGAGCGTCTCAAGTTCTCCAAGACCCCAGGTGCGCGGCTGGCACATTCGACTCGGCTGTGCAAGGACCGGACAGCGCGGAACGAGGGTATTCCTGAGAGTAGTGACACCGGTGCGCCCTCTGACTGTTTCAAGAATCGACGCAGAATCGACGCAGAATCGACGCAGAATCGATGTAGAATCTCCTCTGGAGGAGATTCTACAAACCGAGGCGATTCTCCGGCGATTCTGATTCTCGGCGATTCTCCCACGCTAAATAAATCAGAATCATCTTCAGAATCGCCTCCCAGAATCGCCTCAGAATCGCCTTAAGAGAGCTACTCTGACCGCCCCTATTCACTATGCGGGTAGTGATGCTCAATTCACGTTACGAGTATATATCTCCCCGTCGTACCGTACCCACTGTCCGTTGTGCACCGTAACATTCATCATCTGTCCTTAGATGTCCAGTAAGCTGGGAATATATAGCATATTTTGCACTTTTTCGATGCGCGTATTGAATTCAAGAGCAAAAAATTACATCTATCTAAGTGCTCGGCTGAAACTTTTAAGTACCTGTTAGCTAACTCGCCAGCTGGAATCCAGTCAGAGCTCGGGCCAGCGTGGGTCCATTGTAAATTCACGTAGAATCCAGCTTTCCTGACACTGGGTGCCAGCACTTAGTTTCTCAGCATGTGTCCAGCTTATTCGTTCCAGCTGGCCACCCCATGTCCGACCGTTGGCGGTGTAGCAGGTTCCAGAGTCTTCCCGGACGTCAAGCACAAAATTTAATTTAATTTAATACAGGTAGCGTAGCGAAAGAGGTGCTGATAATGATACTTATAATGAACGTGCTTACGTAAAGTACTCGTACAGATGCGAATGTAGGTTGTGCTAAAGAAACAGTCCGAGTCCAATCTCAGAAACTAAACTAGACTAAAGAAACAACCGAATGTCCAAAGTCACCAGTGCTACCTCCGAAACGGTTTCTTCGGCGCAGCCACAGGGACCAGATAATACGCGTCCACATCCCCCTCTGTCTCCGCCGAGAAGCGAGACGTCACATTACGCTCATGCCGGACGGGCTCCCGTGGCGCGGGCGCGCGCGGCGGGACGCCCGTGAACTGGGAGTACAGTGACGGAGCCGAGAGGCTGCTCGCGTCGCTGGCCGAGTCGCGCGCTTGCTGGTGATGCTGGTGGTGATGATGATGGTGGTGCTGCGGGTGGTGCGCCCTGGGATACTGATGTTCATACGCCGAAAGCAGCTTGTCCATATCCCGTGCGTCCCGTGCCTCCTCCGCCGCGCGCATCCTCGCCATCTTGATCCCGTCCCCCTCCACGTTCGGGGGCTGATTTACATGCACACGCCGGCTCGCCCGATGCCCAAAGAGTTTTTCGCCAAAGCGCAGCAGGCGCCAGCGCCACCCCGCGGGATCGAGCTGCCGCTTCGCCGCGAACTGCTCCGTGCACTGCGCACGCTGCTTGCGCGCGCGGCGGCGCCACAGCCAGACGACGACGAGGAAGATGAACGCGCATCCGAGCGCCATGAGGAGGATTTCCCACCACGCGAGGGGGCGCTTCGTGGTCGTTGGAGCGGCGGCCGTGGGGGTGTCGAGGCCCGGGGCGGGGGCGCTGATGGATGACGAATTTGCCACGTCGACGAGCTCGGAGAGACACACGCCGAGGCCCGCGACGACGGCGGGGCACGCCGCGGCGACGCACGTCCCCGCCCTTAGCACGTCCCCCGCGCCCGCGCACGCGAGACACTGGTTCGGCCCCGCGCCCGCACAGCTCGCGCAGCTGGCGTCGCACGTCTCGCACGTCCCTGAGCTGGGGTCGAAGAACGCCGTCCGGGCGCACGTCGGGAGGCAACGGCCGTTGCTGAGGACGGGCCTGGAGGAGGGGCAGGATGTGCACTGCGTGAAGGACCCGCCGGAGCAGGAAGCGCAGTCTGGGTGGCACGTTAGGCAGGAGGTGGAGTTGTTGGACGCGAAGGTGTTTGAGGGGCAGGTTGCGACGCACTTACCCGCTGCGGCTAGCTGGTTGGAGGAGCACGTTAGGCAGAACGACGCCGAGCCTGCGCAGGTAGTGCAGGACGAATCGCATGCTAAAAAATGTCAGACGGAGAAAGTATACGAGGGAAGGGAAAACGTACCGATACAAGTCAAATTATCCTGCGGGTTCACGAACGTCCCTGCGGGACAACTCTCCACGCACGCCCCGCCCGAGAGAAAGAACCCCGGTACGCAGCCCGTGCACTGCAGCTGGTTCACCGTCGAGACCGCGCTAAAGTTCGGGATCTGGCATGAAGTGCATTTCGCGCCACAGCCTGAATAAAAATGAGCGACGTCCTCGGTAAACAAAGGAGAATACGCACTATCGCACTCGAGCTTGTCATTATTCGCAATCAACGACGACCCCGCGCACACGCCGGTGGCGCTCGCGGACACACACGCGCCGTTCAGTAGGTACGTCCCCGCGGCGCACTCGACGCAGTCGGTGGACGTGCCCGCCGTGCACGTCTTGCACGCCGACGAGCACGGGGTGCAGTTCGCCCCGTCCGCGAACGCCCCGTTGGGGCAGAGCGTGCCCGTCGACGTGGTGCTCGGTGGGGCGTCGCACTTGGTATTGTCGTTCGCGTCCTGCGTGAAGCCCGACTTGCACGTCGTGCACTCCCCCGTGCCGTCCGCGCACGCAGTGCACCCGATCTGACAGACTACTCGGCGGTCAGAAAACGTGCCGTTAAAAGAAAAGAAAAGACGCACTGGAGCAGTCGCCCGCGGTCGTAAGGAAGAAGCCCGTGGCACACTGGCTGCACGCTGTCCCATTCGCGGCGGTGGTGAAGCCGGTAGTGCATGTGCAGGTTCCGTTCGCGCCACACACGCCATTGACGCAGTTGCACGACGCGGGGGCGCCGGGCGGCGCCGTGTCAAGACACTGCCCGCTGCCCGTCAACCCGTCGTCGCACTGGGTGCACCCGGCCGGGCACGCGGCGCAGGTAGGGCCGAAGAACCCCGCCGCGCAAGTCTCACACGACGCGCCAGTGAAGCCCGGTGCGCACGCGCATGTGCCGGCGGCGGTGCAGATGCCCGACGATGCACACGATGGGGAGCACGCGGTGGACTCGATGTCGAAGAGGGTGAGGGCGCTCGGCGCGCTGGTCGGGAGCTGGGCCGTGTCGGGGATCGAGTCCCAGACGATGACACGGGCGTTGGGGGATGCGGGAGAGTTGAGCGCGATGTAGACGTTGGAGGAGAGCGCGAGGGAGCGGAGGGTGAGCGATGTGGAGGTGTTGGCGCCGATGGGTGCGCTGGGGATGGACGTGAATGCGGGGTCGCCAGAGTACAGGGCCCCGGAGTATATGGACAGGCCGGGCTCCTGCGCGACGTTGAGCGGAAGCGCGACGCCGGATGTGGTAGAATTCTTGAATCCCGGGGAGGCAGAGAGGGATGCAGATGAGGATACGAGGAGGTTATGGAGAAGTTGTGGATTTGTTGTAGAGGTGTATTGGCCTGGGAGTAGGAGGGCCGGCGGAGACCCAGTAGCCGATATCGTTACGCCGACTAGTGGAGGGTGAGCGGCGGAATAGATAGATGACGGGACACGCACGAGATGTGTTTGAATAACCTTGGAGACATTGGCCTGCAGTGCAGACGATAGCAGAAGTGTTGGATGCTGCCACTGGAAAATATTAGCACACGCCAAGTAAGAAAAAGGGCAGACACTGACGATTACTGACGGCAAAGAGAGCGGGTAGGAGCATGGTGGTGGTGGTGCGGAAGAGAGAGAGGGTGAACAACGGCGGCGACGGCGCAGCGAGTCAATGGCGCGCCCGGGCATTGTGGCATGCGTTGGCAGAACCTTTTGTTCCACGCCTATTGTCCGAGAACAATGGGATCTTCACCTCGTCCATTTCGGGTCTTGTGGGTCCCAAACTCTCCATTCTCTGCGCACAGAGGCAGTGCAAGAACCACCGCGTAAGGCTGGATGTGGGGTTCCATGGCCAGCCTGGAGATGCTCGCGAAATATCGATCTTATGACTTTCATCGCCACCGGATATTGCGCGTGTTAAATTGACGACGAAGGGTCTTACTAACTGTCCCAGC